GACCGGGCAACAACGGACCCGGTCAAACCCGGTCAAAACCCGGCCGACCCGGCCTTGACCCGGTCGATCCGGGGCATTGACCCGGCTGGGTCAACCCGGTTGACCCGGTCTATATGTATTTTTTTTTTTTTAATTTTCTTTTTCTTTTTTAAAAAATAAAATTAAGTATATATATTTGTATGATAAATATATACATATTATTACCACTTTAATCTACAAATTTTACATACAAAATATTTAAGTTTGTTATTTTTATGTATATTTATATATCAAAAAATACTCTATATATAATTTTATAAATTTTAAAATTAATTATCCGGTTCAGCAATTGACCCGGTGACCCAAGGGTTGAACCGGTGACCCGGTGACCTGCCCGGGTCGATTACCGGGCCGGGTTTAAAAACTATGCATCCAGATCTAAATTGAGAGCTAGAAATTCCTCTCTTTTTTTAATATAAAGTATAAAAGATTCCATTTTAAATACTATCAGGCATATCTTAAAAAAAAAAAAAAATGTATGCCAAGTCAACTCACTTAACAGACCACACTACTACCACATAACCATCTTTGTGTTCCAGTAATAATACAATTTATTTAAATATCAAACATATGATATGAATATATAAACTTCAATAGTATATAATTATTTCAAAATTTTAAATATCAAACATATGATATGAATATATAAACTTCAATAGTATATAATTATTTCAAAATTTTGAAGGTAACACATATCTGGAAAATTGTATTTAAATATTAAACATATGAATATATAAACTTCAATAGTATATAATTATTTCAAAATTTTGAAAGTAACACATATCTGGAAAATTGCCTCCAAAACTATGGGGGGTGTATTCCTTTAAGAATTTTAAAGACTTTTAAAGATTTTTTAGGATTTATGAAATCTTGGTGTATTAAAATGAGACTTTTTAGGATTTTAAAAAATCTAGATGTATTCAATTAGGATTTTCAATGACTTTTTAAAAGTCTTTTAAAATCCATAGGTATTCAATCTAGACTTTTTAAAGTCCTATAAAATCAAGAGATATTTATTTCCTTAACAACTTTTGTGGATTTGTCATTTATTTGGATTTAGAGAGATTTCAATGGTAAAGTATATGTAAAAAATCTCATTACAAATCCCACCAAATATGAGAGATTTTGAGATTTTGCGATAAAAGGGTTTACGAAGGGACGAGGAGGACGACTCTTCTCATACTTTGTTCTTGAATTGTTCTTCATCTATTCCAATCTCCGAAGCTTCATCAGATTTTCTTTCTTTGCTGTAAGTTTCAGATTCTTGTTTTTTTTTTTTTTTTTTTT